CCATTCTTTATAATTTGCTAGAAAAATGGGAAATGTAGTGATTTATTGAAAGACATGCAAACACACATGGAAATACAGTTTGTAAAGCAAAAAAAAGTCTGTACAATTTTCAATGTAAGTCAGTATTTTTAAGCAGGCTTCACAGATAGCTCTCCAGGCTCGGTGAAAGACCTTCCAATGCTCTTCTTTGGATGTTGCAGATCAAATCTGACCATACTTTTCTGTGCTTATAATGCCATCAATTCTGACAAGATCCCTGAAATTGTTATTCAGAAGAGAACGGATGTTGTCGCGACCTCCTGAAAATACTTTTAGGATTTAAGCTAATAACAAATCATCTTTATTCTTAATCAAAAACATAAAGTACAAGTCTAATTAGTACCGTGAATAAGAGATTTGAGTAGTGAAATGGTTCTAATGAAAATGGATGTTCATGTGACAGCGAGCTAATGATAATTCTATTAGAAGTAAAAGACCTGGCATGGGCAGGGCACGCAAGACGACTTAGGGCTGCCAGTTTGTTATTAGAACAGGTGTCACAGACAGAGTGCCCTCACCCATCGGCTCCATCAAGCTCTGCAGTGCCTGCTGGGTAAGGTAATCTTAGTGAGTCAGTGTGAAGTTATGCTAACCTCCCCATGCCACACAGGGTTGATGGTGTTGGATATGATGGAGGAGCGTCTCTCCTGGCCATGGTGGGTAAACTTTGGGAGGCCGCTCCTCTTCCCGGGCTGGATCGACATTTTCAGGTAGGGGTCCGGGTTGAAGAACATCCCTTTCTTTAGGTTCACTGCTCGGAAGTCTGAATTGGAAAACTTGATGAGTGTTTTTGTTTTCATCCTCCAGCACATTTCCACTGACTCATTCATCTCACCTGACAGGGTGAAGCTGACAAGTTTCCGACAGTGCTCGTACTCCGACTGCTCCTCCACCTGGCCTTCACCCCTCACCTGGTGACAAGAAAAAGAAAAACAAAAACATGAACATGTTTTCAGCCCTGATAGAAGTTTAACCAGGAAGACTTAAGTGGGTGGAGTTAAGACTGTTTCTCACATCTCTTCATGTGAGAGAGGTTAGTGCCATTCACCCTCACTACAGTTACACCTCATTGAATCATTAAATTCAGTTCATGGTTTACCAAAGCCATAAACTATCCAAAATATATTACTCTTTTCACAAAGCTCCATGTATTAATGCTTGAATTTATTAGCCATTATTTTATCAGGATGAGTCAGTAAGAGTGAAAAAATAATTTTGTAAGCTCTTGAACTCTTGAACAGTTCCTCCTGTAACCTGGATTTGATTATCCATCCATTTTCTTCCACTTATCCGGTTCTGAGTCATGGTGTGGCTGGAGCCTATCCTAGCTGTCTTAGGGCAGAGGGTTGGGGTACGCCTGGACCTGTTCAGGGTGTACTAACGCATAGAGACAGACAACCATTCATACTCCAATTCACACCTACGGGCATTGTAGAATTACCAATGAACTTAACCCCACTAACTGCATGTCTTTGGACGGTGTGAGGAAGCCGGAGTACCCAGAGAGAACCCATCCTAACACAGGGAGAACATGCAAACTCCACAGAGAAAGGCCCTGGCCTCACAGCAAGAAGGTCCTGAGTTTAGTTCCACACTGAACCTTCTTGCTGTGAGGCAACAGTGCTGACTAGGGCTGGGCCATATCATACTGTTCACGGTAATACCAGAATAATGTTGGGCAACGATAAGAAAATGAAATATTGCGATAGAATATGGGTAAAACGCGCATGTGCAGTGTCTTTGTTTACATACGCACATGGCAGTGACAGAGAACGAGAAGGGTGAAAGTGGATCATTGAATGAAACGATGAACCAGAACTGGTTTTTAAAAATGCTGCAGCTTCACTGGTGTGGAACTGGTTTAGCTTTCGTCCGTCAGATACACAACAAAGCACTATTTTTGGTAGCGCATGCTAGCGGGCCGTCGTTATTACCGTGTTGTTTGGAAAATACGGCGCACTTAAAATCAATCCTTTGATCTCAATAAAGAGGGGGAGCTAACTGAGAGTGACAGGGTTCGAGCAGGAACAGTGCTCGTCATGGTTCTCTCCCTCGTGCACGAGATCACACAAAGAGTTCTGCCTGGTGTTCAATGCTTTTTGCCTTTGTAGCAGATCCATCTGCTTCTGCTTCTCCTTTTCAGGGTGCGGGGTGCGTGCTGGAGCCTATCCCAGCGGTTATAGAGCGAAAGGCGGGGTACACCCTGGACAGGTCGCCAGTCTGTCGCAGGACTAACACACAGAGACAGACAACCATTCATGCTCACATTCACTCCTATGGGCAATTTGGATTA